CTTATATAAAATATAATAACAACGGCACAAGCATCTATACCGAAACGTCGCATCAAAATATAAATCTTGTCATCCATAAAGTAGCAAACCTTTCACAGTGAACACGTGCGTTTGGTTTTCAATGCCTAACTCAGCAATTTTCAGTTAAATGATCCCGGAATACGTTCCAGTGATTGACATCATGAGCACTAGTCCCACCAATCGTCTCTTACGATAAGTTGGGCTTTGCTGTTGTTCATACAAAATGAATACCAAATATGCATGTCTCATGTCTGATTTGTGCCGGCAGAATTTAGTACGGCCAAAAATGCGTCAAAAACAGGGTAGCTATTCTCGACTCGTTCGTAGCCTTACGAACTTCTTAAGCCCATTCCTAACACATTGGCTACGATCAAAGTTAATAATTCTTAGGGCTACGAACGTTTCGAGAATAAGGGCCCAGTGCCTGGCTAGTTATTCACGAAACGCTCGTAGCCCTAAGAATTCTTAACTTTGTTCGTAGCCAATGTGTTAAGAATGAGATAAAGAAGTTCGTAGGGCTACGAACGTTTTGAGAATAGCCAGCCAGGTCGCCGGATGTAAATCCCATAAAAAAAAAATATGGGAAGCTCTTGATGAACACCTGAAGTCATCCCAGCAGCAGCCACAGAATCTCCCACAGCTGACACAAGCACTGCAGGAAGAATGGGTGAACATTCCCCACGGCACAATTCGCAATCCGACTGGTTCAAGCAACCCCTGTATTTTTGCAATGATAGCTTTTCAACAGGTACATAAAACTTGTCGTGGTGATCACGATGGAAAAAAACCCATGAGTTTTCCTACCCGTATGATCCTTTGACTCATAAAAAACGATTGGCTTTAATCAGGGTAAGAATTTACCGTCATGCAAAAAAATGTAATTATAATACTACGCTGAGTGATAATGCTGTGGTAATAATTTACATAATATGTACATAACATATGTTTATATACATTCGACACATCCACCTCTATCTATCAAATGTTCGTAGCGATAAGATGTCAGATAAGCTTAGACGTACGTTAAGTCGTAACACTACGAACGCTTTGAGGACTGGGCACCAGACAAACATAGAAAGAGCGTATAATACAAAATGTCAATCAATGAACAACTGCAATTAGAACATCTTGGCGAATCCATGAAGTTCCGGTTGTCTTCTTCATCTTCAGAGCACACTACATCCTCTTTCTCCCTGTTGGGTAATATCACCAGCTCCTTCTGTCCACATTATCACCAAGTCCTCATGGGTATGCAGACTGAGGGATCTCTTATCTAACGTTTCATCAAAAGTTCTGGTGAAAGAAACGCTTTGAAAGACATAACAACGTGATATAAATTGTAAAACAAATTTAAAGATACATCATATATTTTGAAGGAAAAATCTACATATACAATGCATGTCCTTTGGCATTCTGTGAATGTTTTCAATAAGTTTATAAAACAACTTTTTCAAAACGTTTGCTTATCCCCTTTAAGTAAGGTAGCTGTTATGAGCACGGATACGTATGTATGTGTGAAACATGATCACAGAATAGCCTCTGTTTTGACAGTTGATTCAACAAAACACATACATCAAAGGTAAGTCTTGCAATTGGAATCAAAGACTGTTTCCCTAACCACTTGAAATAGTTCATGTAACTATAACAATAATACTATGATATTTCGTCATGTGGAGGTCATGAATTAAAAACGAACTACATACAAAAATAGTAGAAAAATACTCTATTATCCAAGATAATCTACAATGGTTTACGCAGAGACACAGACCATGTCGTAATGTGTTGGTGCGTGATGTTTTGACGAATGTAGTCAAGTGCTTAAAACTGGCCACGCAAACATTTGACTCAAGACCCGAAAATGACACATTATATTCAAGCATCTGAACATTTAACAAGCATTATTTGTATAGAAACTGAGGTAAAATGTGATGTAAGAGCTTGACAACCAATGTAACACACAGTGCGAGTGAGTGAGTGAGTTTGGTTTTACACCGCACCGGGGGACACCAGAAATGGGTTTCACACAATGTACCCATGCGGGGGAAATCAAACCCGGGTCTTCGGCGTGACGAGCGAACGCTTTAACCACTAGGCTACTCCACCGCCCTTAATGTAACAGACATGGTAAGATAACTGAAATGAAAAAACTAAAATAAGGAATGTCCCCAGTGGTCTAAACATTACATTACATGAAAGGTGCAGATTGTGACCGCTGTTGATGAAAATAAATGTAAGCATTTTCCAGTAATTTATAAGTTCAGGTTTTTGTGTCAACACATTGAATATACCGCCAATGACAATATCGTATTACCCAGAACTACCGTATTTACAGCAATTTAAGCCATGATTAGGTAGATAGTTAATATGAATAGGGTGTTTCTTGTGACAAAAGAGCCCAGTGTCCGATCCACAAAGCATTCGTAGCGCTACGACACTCGTAAGCCAATGGTAAACTATAGAGTTACGACAGGTCGTAACGTTACATTCGTAAGCCAATGGTAAACTACAGAGTTACGACAGGTCGTAACGTAACGTTACATTCGTAAGCCAAAGGGAAACTATAAAGTTACGACAGGCCGTAACGTTACAAACGCCTTTTGCATCAGGACCAGAGCTCTAATTGTTTCAAAACATGGCATCAAGTAACGCCAGGCTTAAAGAGTGGCGCGTTATATTTGTCTCCTCTATGGTAACGACAATTGATGTTTATTTAACTGGGCATGAAATCAGTTCTCTTCCGTATTCATTCAGGGTCTAGGGTCCAACCCATAATATATTAATAGGTAAGTACATGAGCCTAAAAATGTTGTCTCATCAGTCTGCATTGTTACAAGATTGCAACTATTATATGTGTGTGCTCCACTCAATAGCTATGGAAATACTTTGAAGACTGATCAAAGCGTTAGCTACACAATCCATTTTTGGTTTTAGTAGTTTCAGTTATTGAAAAAAGGAAACAGTAGATTCAGGACCCTTTTTGGTACATAAAATTTGCATAATTCAAAATTTAAATATGCACTCACATGAATGTTTTTTTGCGGATATTGAATGTTTTGCATTTAAGACAACAATGAATGATTAGGCGAGTACCAAATGTGTCTGAGGCAAATTGTAAAGATATTGTAGATATTACGTTTAATATTTGAAAATAGAACGTTTTTAACCTATGCTAATTGTTCAAAGAAAATATAGATTTAAAACAATGCACATAACACACCACAGTTTGGTAAAAAATACTACATTTTTAAATATTCAATCCAAGTTTGAAACTAGGCTTTTTGTATTCGTTTCTGTCACACTAATGTGTTTTTTAATGTGTCAGAACACCAAAATTAGTGTAAAAGTAAATACAAACCTCGATGCCTTAGAAAAATGATAATCTTTACAGACATCTTTACAGACAATGTAAATTTGTTTTGAATTAAACGAAACTCGAAAAATCACATTTTCAATGAGAAAACGGCTCCTTTCTCATCTGTTTGTACAATCATAAGTAACATCGCCTATGATGATATAGATATTTTGACAAATGATAAACATAAATAGCAACTGAATGGGACGTTATTAATTAATCATAATTGTATCGCACATACAGAGCGAGATACTATCAGAAACTCGTGAAGATCCGGATTACGATTGGTCTTCAGTACACCCATGTTTTTCGTAAGAGGCGATTTATGGGTTCGGGTGGTCCCACCTGTGCAGGTGTCAGTCACTGGATTGTCTGGTCTAGACTGCATTATTTACAGACCGCCGTCATATAGCTGGAATATTGCTGAAAGCGGCCTTGCAAACCAGCAAACAAACACTATCATGGAACATGGCATTTGTATTCTATTCTCAATATAAATGGAAGAAGTCGTACACAGATAGACCTCGTTAATTGAAAGTTCCAATAATGATTATATGGAACATGTAACATTGCAGATTAAACTAGAAGTGTAATAATATATACACACAGACATGACCAAACAACCTTGATTAAGATGGAATGCACATTAAGATGAAAACGGGACGTTGCATCTCTCATAACCCGTCTTATCAAACATTTGTCCATGTAATCAAACTGGTTTGATTAAGATTTAATGCGTATTACGATGAAAATGGCCAATTTGTGTTGGAGACACAAGAATACCTAGGCTCTTATAACAATTTTGTTCATAAACTTCAAGAACTCCGTATTCAAGTGAATTTGAATTTAGAAAACTTTAAATGTTAAAGAGGAGGAGATGGAATGAAAACATGATATGATTAATACGGAAGGATGACAATATATGGATGAACACGTTTAGGTGTAGGTTCTAACGGTGGTAGAACCTACACCGAAACGTCGCTCTCATTGTAATAAAGTAGTCGTTCATCCATATATTATCATCCTTCCTTGTTGCTCCAACTTCTAAATGCCTCTCAAAGAAGTTATATGATTAATTAAAGCATTCCCACTGCATTGGGTAGGAATCACTGACATTTTGAAACATGTACACAGTGTGGATGAAAGGTTCCCATTCTACATGGGCATTAAGAAGCCATATTAAGCAAATTCTCCCTTGATCATCACTGAAAAAATGTCAGATAATAAAACATCACAATCCATCCATTTCTTTGGCTGCTGCTGTTTCCACCATTAAGTCACTCCTTCCTTGAAACGTCTGTGCGCTTGTTAATGACCACTAATACTTTGATGAAATTACGACACCTTTGCTATGCATGTGTTTTTTACCCAATACAGTACCATAGTGACTGAATAATCTCGTGTTTCACTTTCAACGTGAGGTTTTAATATTTGGTGGAGACAATGACATCACTTTCTGTCTTTCTCAAATATGTGTATAAGCATACACTTTGATGTCGAGAAGCAGAATAATCTCGTGCTCCACTTTCAACGTGAGATTTTAATATTTGATGGAGACAATGACATCACTTTAAGTCTTTCTCCAGTACGTATATAAGAATACACATTGGTGTAGAGAAAACGAGCGTTACACGCGCTCGGTGGCCCCGTTGACCATACATTGCATTTCAGAAACCTCCTGCAAAGAGTAAAGACATTGATCACATTACGAATGTACATCCTCTACTGAGAAGTCTTGTTAGATATCTTGAAACAATAACATCATATCAAAGTTACGAGGTAAGATGGAATGTAAAACGCTCTATTGTGTGCAAATGCACTTTGTATCAAATTTTAATGACATCAAAGTGTTCAAAGAGCGCTAAACCATAACACACAAACTATTCACGTGCTGAACTTTGTGCATTTTGTGTGTTATGAAATAATAGTTAGGAAGAACGCTTTATTGGTACACAAATATTCATGTTATAGATAGGGAAATAGGGAACCAAGACATTAATATTTATGAATCAAAAAAGAATTCTACATGCCTATAATTTCATAGTACATAAAATGTACAAAGTTCATACATATGTATGCATGTGCGTGTGCGTGTGCGTGTGCGTGTGCGTGTTGTGTATGTCATTGTGTGTATGCATGTATGTAAGTATATGTAAAGATATGTATTACCTACGCGGGCGAAAATATCGGGGTACATATTTTCGTACGAGGCAAAATATCACTTTGTCATGGTGACGTGACCTCACGTTTCTTCTATGACGTTGTGTTCTACATGCGGCGTCGGCGGGTAGTCATCCTATGTTTGAAAATAGATTGGGGTTTATTTTCCTCAATTTGACGACTTCAGTAATAAACAGAATATTATATTCGTTCCCATATCATACTATGTTTACGACACTCGTGCCTAAATATCGGTATATTACCTCGCTCTTGCTCGGGAAATACCAACATAGTATGACATATAATATCCTCTATATATTACTGTAAAAATGGGAATGTCATATCGACATTGTGGTTAGAAAATGAAAAACAAAAGGCGATTTCTTTTGACAAGAATGAAGGAGGAGCCATATGCATCACGCATTCAGCTGAATATCTGCAGACAAGTAAATGTGTGACACGTCAGATTAAATGAATAAACCTATTATCAGCGTAGGGTGGAGGTTGTGCACATTTGCCTCCCTTGGGCACGCCAGGAGTGAGTGAGTGAGTGAGTGAGGAAGTGAGTAAGTTTAGTTTTACACCGCACTCAGCAGCAATATTCCAGCTATATGGCGGCGGTCTGTAAATAATCGAGTCTTGACCAGACAATCCAATGATCAACATCATGAGCATCGATCTGCGCAATTGGGAACCGATGACATGTGTCAACCAAGACAGCGAGCCTGACCACCCGATCCCGTTAGTCGCCTCTTACGACAAGCATGGGTTACTAAAGGTTCATTCTAACCCGGCCCTTCACGGGTGGGCACGCCAGGAACCTATGCTCGCGGGTTCGAATCAAGGTTCGGCAAGCTCATGCTGCAGCACCATACAAATACTCCTGATTTTCACCGTAGTGAGTCACTTGGTTCCTATCCTAATTTGTCACCCACCCGTGTAAGCGTGAGTGAGTAAGTGAGTTTCGATTTACGCCGCTTTTATCAATATTCCAGCAACATCACGGCGGGGAACACCAGAAATGGGCTTCACACATTGTACCCATGTGGGTAATCGAACCCGGGTCTTCGGCGTGATGAGCGAACGCTTTAACCACTAGGCTACCCCACCGCCCATTCATCAAAGTGGTAATTATCTGGCATCTCTACGGACTTCACCCTCACATTCAGCACACACGCAGTAATACAACTCGAAAACTGTTCAAAGCTCCGTTGAACCTAACTCACTCACTCACACAGCTCGTATGGGTAGAAATTATATCTTGGAAAATCTTTGTGGGAAATTACATGAGTTGATCTAATGACGAATCGACCGCTGTTGTGCCTTGATCCGTTCTTCACGAGTGTGACGTCATTGCACATCATGCTGTTAGTCATGCTGCGTCGACGTTCGGAACTGTTCGAGTCAAAGTTACTTCGATACAACATCCATTTTCTTTTGACAACCGTTACAACCTAAAGAAACAAATACAACACTTACATTATTCGCATTATTCACATTATTGTAATGGTTAAAACACTTTAAGATGTTTCAGGGATATGTTTGGTTGAATTGTGATGACATCAGGATAAGAATAAGAGAGAGTGGGTGAGTTTAGTTTTACGACGCACTCAGCAATATTCCAGCTATATGGCGGCGGTCTGTAAATAATTGAACCTCGACCAGACAATCCAGTGATCGACAGCATGAGCATCGACCTACGCAATTGGGAACCGATGACATGTGTCAACCAAGTCAGCAAGCCTGACCACCCGATCCCGTTAGTCTCCTCTTACGACAAGCATGGGTTACTGAAGATATATTCTAACGTGTATAAGAATAAGAGAAAAATAGTTACCTCTCCGTTGAAAAAACAGAAAATAAGCGCAACACACACGCCCTGAAACAAAAGCCCAGTTTAATTTCACACAAGGTAAAACATGTGAGGCTTTAATGTATAAACGAAATAACGTGAACACAAACTAACAACGCTGTGTGGAAGTATGACGAGTTTAACTTGCGATTGCCTCGAAGTAAAAGCTTGGTCATTAGTACTTGCTATCACTATTTATTATCTGATGTGTCGAAGTTAATGCTAATGCTAATTTTTTGCACCTAGAATCCAACACGATGTTGCTCTCTGGCGTTACATTATTACCCTGACGGAATTGTACTTTCAAAGCTGCTACTAAGCGCTAAGCGCGACCGTATAGGTCCGTACATCCGCTTTTCAGGTACCTATTATGTACAGCTGAGTGGACTGAGTGCAATGTGGACGAAGTGCCTTTATGAAGGCTTTATTGAAGCCTATTTTCAGTCCTAAACATTGACGTTTTCACAAAATTGTAGTTTGATGTATTTCATGTCCTTGTTTGTTATAACATGTGTTTCGGGTTATTTGTTCCCCATGCCAAATGGGTTTAAGCCTAGTGGTTTAAGCGCCAGCTTGTCACGTTCAACTCCGCACATGGGTACAATGGGGACCATTTCTGGTGCCCCCGCGTGAATTTGCTAGAATATTGCTAATAGCTGCGGAAAACCCAACTCACTCACTCCTCATGCTGATCTGAAAATGTATGCCGAGTTCAATTTTCGGTAGTGTCGAACCTCAGACAACTCGAATTGTTCACGTAGGTCAATTCATCTCCCACACATTGCTGTTTGATTGTACATCAAAGTGACATCTTGAGATTTTTGTGTGAGATGCGATTCATCTGCTCAATGTCTTTAACTTTCATTTGTGAAACATCTATGATGTGTCCATTTATATAGCGCCAAACTCCACATCAGGTATGCTCATAGGGCTAACAATGACGAGCACAGCACATTATTACCCCGGATAACCCAAGCTGTCTGTTAGGCGCTAGAAGTTTATAGTCACATAACTTATCCCACCGGGTACCCATTCTCTGCTGGGTGAACAGAGGCAATTTTGAACAAACTCACTTGTCTATTGTGAGTCCACATGTATCACAATAACTATCAGTAAATATCACACTGAATATAAAATGTGCAATATTTTGACAAGACAAGCACCTTATCAACAAAGAATCACCAAATTTAATTAGAATAAATCAGGTAATATGTATGTGTTGCAAAGAGATGTTTTATGAATCTGTTACAAAAAGAACAGCGTGTATGACATACCTGATAAGACACCAAGAGAGCTGACACCATTTTGAATATGTAAAGCTCGCGGAGCCCGGATGTAGGTCGGAATGGGATGATCAGGTACTGAAGTCCGAGAAGCGGGATGAGAATCAAGATGGCCTTGGCCGCACGTCTGAAATAACACAAGGAGTGTAAGTGGCAGAAGCAGATCAAGGATTTTAAAAAAGATGACTCGGGATGCACATAACACCCAATTCACGAAATGACCTGACCGAGGCCGCTTTTAACGCTACCTGCATTATTTCTTTTGCAACCCGTGAAGATCCGGGTTAGAATTGATCTTCAGCAACCCATGCTTGTCCTAAGAGACCACTAACGAGTTCGGGTAGTCAGGCTCGCTGATTTGGTTGACACACGCCATCGTATCCCAGTTGCATTGATCGAGGATCATGATGTTGATCACTGGATTGTCTCGTCCAAATTCTATTATTTACAGACCGCCGCCATATAGCTGGAATATTGCTGAGTGCGGCGTTAAACAAAAACACCACCCAAAAAACAAACAAAAGACAAACAAAATTTGTTTCATGGGTTTCACATCTCCCATCTCAACCATCAAGTGAGAATACTGGGCGGCCTAAGTGCTTTCCACTTATTGTGTAACTAATTCCATTTTGACAATTGCTTTTTTGTGTTTTTTTTGCTGTTTAACGCCGGACTCTCCATCAACATATATGCTAGAGGCTAATGGCGAAATATGGAGGCTTGTTGTGGATCGTCGTATCCATTTGCGTAGATCATTTCTCATGATATCCATCACTGGATTGTCTGGTCCTGACAAGATTATTTACAGACCGCGTCTATATAATTTTAATATTTTTGAGTGTAGCGTTCACAACTCCCCACCTCCCCCACCCCCAAAAAAACAACAACAAAAAGAAAGAGAAACACATACGAAACACAAACAAACAATTAAACAAGCAAAAACACACACACAACAAAACAAACAAAACAAAACAAATCACACAAAAAACACAAACAAAACACAAACAAAATATTTTCTTACCTGTTTTGGTGCTGTTCGTTAGTGTTGAAGGCACGGAGTTTCGACAACAAGATCCGGAGAATGTTCACTAAGAAGAACAAATTAACCTGAAAAACATCGAATGAGAGATGTTAACTGACAACTGTGTAATATATTTCATATATTCCATCCGACTTTACAGAATATTGTTACTTGACCAATGGCCAATTACTGTAATGAGAATAATAATCACTCTGAACATACAAACCTGATAAAGATTCAAATTGGAAAAAAATGAAAGATTTACCCATTTTGCACACAAACACGTATGCTTATTATATAATAAATTTAATATATAATAAATTTATATAATAAATATAAAAACAGTTTCAACAGTTTGAAGCAGAAATATTTTAAAACATTTTGTGAGACTACTGAAAGTTTTCGAAACTGCCCCAGCCGCTTATCAAACCACCATACACCAGTTCACCCGCAGGGTGTGAACGTCAGAACCATGTTATTGATTATCTCAACACACTCCACGCACCGAACAAAGGAGTATATGCAGCCCACAAGAGAATTAAACATTTGAAACTGTTTGAGACGTTTAAAAACAGTCAAGATTCAAAACGCCCGTGGCGTCATTCAGTTGTATGAACAGTCCATTTTTTATGGAGAGAAAAGATAAAACAACACATATATAGATATGGAAAAACTGAAACACGAGTCACAGAAAGTGAGTTGTGTACATGTTCATAAACTTCTATGCCCTCGTGTCCTGGGTATATAAAGTTCAGGTGCGTATTGCACGGGGAATGTTTTGTTTGTTTGTTTGTTTGTTGTTTAACGCTGGGGTCAGCAATATTCCAGCTATATGGCGGCGGTCTGTAAATAATTGAGTCTGGACCAGACAATCCAATGATCAACACCATGAGCATCGATCTAAGCAATTTGGATACGATGACATGTGTCAACCAAGTCAGCGAGTCTGACCACCTGATCCCGTTAGTCGCCTCTTACGACAAGCATGGGTTACTGAATATCAATTCTAACCCGGATCTTCACGGGTTGCACAGGGTGCAGAGAGAGAAAGGCAGACAGCGTAGTCGACAGCGTAGTCTGTGACAACCCCTGCGCGTATACGTCCTTACCACCAGAGAGAGGATAACTGGGCCGATGATGATCCAGAGGAACTTCGACTCATACAGCCAGCAGCTGGAACAAGAGAATTTGTTTCTGCGTTAAATTCTATACACTTGGTCCGTTGAGTCGTATCCTTGCATATATATTTCACACACACAGAACAATGAAATAATCGATTTCGGAGTTAGTTAACCATTTGTTGTGAAACCGGCTTGACTACTGCAAAAATTGTCAGGCTGGTTGATGACAAATGAGTTGTACGCCAAGCTTGGCGCACGGCTCGTCAGTTATGTACAGTTCTTTAAAAGTCCAAAGTTTTTTTTCTCGTAAAAACGTGACCCGTAGACTTTAAGTACAGAATTAAGCTGTTGGCGAACGGCATTTTTTAAACTTGTTAATATACATGCCAAGTTTTCGAAACCAGTTTCATGTGTTTGTTTGTTTGACGTTTAACGCCGCACTCAGCACTATTCCAGATATATGACGGCGGACTGTACAATCGAATCTGGACCAGACAATCCAGTGATGGACACACATGTAAGCATATATTGCGCAACTGGGATACGCGCATCGACTGCGTGAGTGAGCTTGACAAACCGTTCCTGTTAGTCGCCTGTCAAGGCAAGTACAGACTGCTGAGTGAGTGAGTTTAGTTTTACGCCGCACTCAGCAATATTCCAGCTATTTGACGGCGGTATGAGAGTAATCAAGTCTGGGCCAGACAATGCAGTGGTCAACACCATGAGCATCGATCTAAGCATTTTGGATACGATGAAATGTGTCAAATAAGTTAGCGAGCCTGACCACCCGATCCCGTTAGTCGCCTCTTAGGACAAGCTTGGGTTACTGAAGGTCAGTTCTAACCCGGATGTTCACGGGTCACGGGCTGCTGAAGATCACTTCACAAACGTGGTGAATAAACTGTAGCGGTACGGTTTTTTCAATATAAGATACGCATTTTCGACAGAATGGCAAAACATGATACGATAGTGTTTCAATGTGGAGTGAGTCAGTTGAGTTTTACGTCTCATTTAGCAATATTCCAGCAATATCTCTGCGGAGGAATTTGCAATGAACTGCACACCAGTTTACCATTTGTGGAATCGAACCCGTGTATTCAGCGTGACAAGCAAATGCTTTACCCACTAGGCTACTCCACCGCCCGTTAAATATGGAAACATGATTGACGTAAACTAGACGCGTACTTGACATTGTCGGTGGAGTCCATTCCCCGCATCCCAGCGTAGATTGCCGACGGTACGAAGGGAAAGCCTAAACACAAAGTATTATGTGATTATTAATAATGAGCCCAACAAAACTATAGATATAACAATATGCAATCTCAACCAAAAACAGATTCCAATAATACGATTCCGGCTCTATCGTGTGCTTATTAATCACATCGAATAGCGATACCTTAGGATATTCGAATCTAACCCTGCTCTACCGGTGGCACCGTTGCAAACGCACGCAAAGGCAAGTCAGTTGTTCAGCTAAGAATACAGGAATTGAAGGTGTAAGTTTCCCATGAGCCCCATCGTCAAATGTCCACCATGTGATGTTGTAACTCCGATCAATCAACATTTCGACATGCGCAGTTGTATGATGCGTTTTGAAATCTTTGCAGAAAGACCAAGTTAAATTGTATCTAGAAAGCTGTGAATATGACTGGAGTGAGTGAGTTTAGTTTTACGCCGCACTCAACAATATTCCAGCTATATGGCGGCTGTCTGTAAATAATCGAGTCTGGACCAGATAATCCAGTGACCAACAGCGTGAGCATCAGTCTACGCAATTGGGATACGATGACATGTGTCAACCAAGTCAGCGTGCCTGACCTCTTACAACAAGCATGGGTTTCACCCGGATCTTCACTGGTAGAATATGACTGGAACCGACCTCGAGATAACGGCAATATTGACTTTAATAACGTCTAATCCCCCCAACCCGCAACCAACCACCCCCTACCCTATCCCCAAGGCACACAGTTTTGTGGATTTTTTGTCACACAATCACGAGATTTGTCTCGTAATACATTTCTTTAATATCTGCAAACAGATAAAAAGTGCAATTATATGGAGCAAAATGGAAACAATTTGAGAAAAATCAGCCACTTTCGAAAATGTTGAATGTTCAAAAGTGATGCATTTTCGAACAGACAAAGTGGTATGATTAATAATAATTGCCAATTTAAACCACTCCGCGTTGCTGCTCTGTGATGTTATGACTGACATTCTAAGAAGAGGTCGGAAGTCCATGCCATCGCTGTACACAGAAAGATAACGCTTTTTTTCATTTTGTTCTGTGTTTCATAAAATAAAAGTCAATAAAAATCATCAATATACACAAACATGTCATTACGCCAAACTAAAGATCCGTTGTAATTCCGCTTTTTATCCGGCATACCACTTAGCTTGTCTTTGCATCTAATTTATAAGAGCCATTGAACCATACCAGCGGAAACAGCTAGTGGAATCAAATTAGACTGGTAATTTCACACATAATGCATAACCTGCGTGGGCTTAATAAGCTTGGTGTAATATTTTTGTCAATCTTTGGAAGGAGAGACAAATACATTTTAACATTAAAAGAATAGGCTTCTGTGTACTCGATACATATTTCATGGCGTACTGCGCTGCAGAAGCCACAATACTACAGGGCTCGACGTCCAGCGTACTGCGCTGCGAAAGCCACAATACCACAGGGCTCGACGTCCAACGTACTGCGCTGCAGAAGCAAGAATACCACAGGGCTCGACGTCCAGCGTACTGCGCTGCATAAGACAGAATACCACAGGGCTCGATGTCCTGCGTACTGCGCTGCGAAAGCCACAATACCACAGGGCTCGACATCCAGCGTACTGCGCTGCATAAGACAGAATACCACAGGGCTCGACGTCCAGCGCACTGCGCGCAGAAAGCCACAATACCACAGGGCTCGACAGCGTACTGCGCTGCATAAGACAGAATACCACAGGGCTCGACGTCCAGCGCACTGCGCGCGCACTGCGCTGCGAAAGCCACAATACCACAGGGCTCGACATCCAGCGTACTGCGCTGCATAAGACAGAATACCACAGGGCTCGATGTCCTGCGTACTGCGCTGCAGAAGCCACAATACCACAGGGCACACAGTCTAGCGTACTGCGCTGTGGAAGCCAGAGTACCACAGGGCTCGACGTCCTGCGTACTGCGCTGCGGAAGCCACCATGCCACAGGGCTCGACGTCATGCGTACTGTGCTGCGGAAGCCACAATACCACAGGGCTAGACCAGCGGCGTATTGCGCTGCGGAAGCCACAATGCCACAGGGCTCGGCATTGTGCGTACTGCACTGCGGAAGCAACAATACAACAGGGCTCGGCGTCCAACTGCGGAAGCCACAATGCCACAGGGCTTGACGTCCAGCTGCGGAAGCCACAATGCCACAGGGCTTGACGTCCAGCTGCGGAAGCCACAATACCACAGGGCTTGACGTCCAGCTGAGGAAGCCACAATACCACAGGGCTTGACGTCCAGCTGAGGAAGCCACAATGCCATAGAGCTCGACGTTCAGCTGAGGAAGCCACAATACCCCAGGGCTTGACGTCCAGCCACGGAAGCCACAATACCAAAGGGCTTGATGTCCAGCCACGGAAGCCACAATACCAAAGGGCTTGAAGTCCAGCTGCGGAAGCCACAATACCACAGGGCTTGACGTCCGGATTACCGCGCTGCGGAAGCCCAAATACCAAAGTACTTGGCATCCGGGGTACCGATACAGGGTTGGTCGCAGGTTCGTTTGGTTGACGTGGCTCTTATCATGTTATTGCACCAAGACGGCGTGTGACTTTGCTCATAATATCAATCCTTTGTTTGTGTGGTCTAGACTCGAGTTAAGCAGGCTGCGTGATTCTGCGTACGAAACAAACAAACAAACAAACAAACGTTATACAGTCCAACGTAATGACGTGTATAGCATCATGACCGTTAGTGTCCGTTCTCATCACCATCAGCTAATGGATACCTCGCCAATATGTTTTGTTTTGTTTAACGCCGGACAGCAATATTCCAGCGATATGGCGGCGCTCTGTAAATACTCGCATCTGGATCAGACAATCCAGTGATCAACAGCCTAAGCATCGGTCTATGCAATTGGGATATGATGACATGTGTCACCCGAGTCAGCGAATCTAACCACCCGATCCCGTTAGTCGCCTCTTACGTCAAGCTTGGGTTGCTGAAGACCAATTTCAGCCCTTCCCGGGTCTACGCAAATAGGATACGATAACATGTATCAACCAAGTCAGCGAAACGCCTGATCCTGTTCCCCGATCCTGTTAGTCGCAGCTTACGACAAGCATGGGTTGTTGATGACCGATTCACGGGTAACATGTTATGTTTTGCATTTTATCGATCTTCCTTAGCAATGGGCTGTGGGTATTTTAAGCAGCCCGGTGAAATAAAGATGGAAGGGCGAAGAACACCCCATCTTGAAAAGACTTGTGTAAAGAAGCGCTTGTAAAATATGCATCGTTTTACACCTTATTGTATGATGCTGTCGGCTCCCGGATGAGTAACGGATCGAGTCGTTCACCGAAGTACATCACCGCTCTGGACACGTCTTTGATTGTGGACTGACTGACTGACTGAGTTTAGTTTTACGCCGCTTTTAGCAATATTCCAGCAATATCACGGCGGGGGAAACCAGAAATGGGCTTAACACATTGTGCCCATGTGGGGAATCGAACCCGGGCCTTCGGCGTGACGAGCCAACGCTTTAACCACTAGGCTACCCCACCGCCCCCTTTGATTGTGGAAAGAACCAGCAAGTGTTAAAGCTGTAAGGTAGGTAGGTAGGTTTTACTTATCATGTAGGTAAGTACAATTTCGATCATCGCAGTGTAGGTACTACTTTTTCAATCTCGGGAAAATAGATACAAGGTTTTTGGAGTAACTGGGGGATAACATATTTACCTCAAATTTTGCTAATATCACTTTTTGCGAAAATTAATTATTGGGCAGAAGTTCATGAAAAAATAATTCTTTGGTCGAGATGTCGCAAATTTTTGTTGTGAAAAAGTATGTGCTCGGAAACAAACTGCCCAACATAGTGTTTACTTGAGATGAACGTTACGGTATAATCTGAAGAAGATTCTCTACTAACCGTCCTTCCAGGAACATTTAATTGTCGGTCGATAGGTTGAAGTCTCAACGAAGTGAACATACAGACAGCGTAATACTTATGAGTCGTGTACTTCTATAGACAACGTTTATAGCGACCGGGCTTCAGAATTTAGAAAAAGATCATTTTAATATTTTCTATGGGAGCCTTTTACGACCATAACCTATCATTTACATAGATGGTTCTTACATTTACGCAGAAGATGTTTTCTTCTACGTCGATGAAGGTTTTTCCTAGGTAGATGTATGTATGTACCAGGTAGTTTCCAGTACCATCTACGAAGATGGCATTATATTTTACGTGGATGGTATATGGATATTAGGCTTTGGCAGTAGTACGACTCCACGTGTTTTTTTCTGTAATGAAAAGTCTGTACTTACACCAGCCCATGATGATACACATCCACAGAAGTTTCTTCTCCTTGCTGAAGGCCATGACTATGAGCGTGTGTAGGTAGAAGCCCTCACACACCATCCAGCAGTAGTTACACACAGTCAAATACTGCGTAAACACGTGTAATGCTTGACACCAACCCTGAAACGAACAAACCAGAATCGCACAGTCAATTACTGCGTGAACACGTGTGATGTTTGACACCAACCCTGAAACGAACAAAACAGAAACGTACAGTCAAACACTGCGTGATCACGTATAATGTTTGACACCAACCCTGAAACGAACAAATCAGCATCGAACTGTAGGCGAGTACTATTTCAATCATTATAACGTAGGTAAGTACTATTTCAATCATCGTAGTGTAGGTAAGAACTATTTCAATCACCGTAGTGTAGGTAAGTAGGCTACTATTTCAACCAACCAGGTGTAGGTAAGTACTATTTCATTTATTGTAGTGTAGGTACTACTAACTCAATCTGGGGGAAATACATACATACATACTAGCATTTGTATAGCGCCGATATCCAGCTCAGCTGCTCAAAGGCGCTTTGTTTTTTCCCTCGATCACTGGATGTCAACGGCACGTCGTATCATCAATCTCAACTCCCTGGGTAGTCATACAACTCTTGCAGCCACTAGGCGCACCGAGTGGCTTTCCCAACCTTACGAGGTACCCATTCACAGCTGGGTGGACTGGGACACATAGTCACAGTACTTTGTCCAAGTTCACTGCACGTTGCTCTACCCGCAACTAGGTGTTTGCACGTATTCATGTGGCCACCATCTGGTCATATACCAACGGATTCGAGGGTTCTTTTAAGTGCACAGGGTTGTGTACTGTACACTAGAGGTTGTGACAGCACTGAAAAAGTCTGCACACAAAGTTGACTCCAAGGTTTTTACACCCGGTCACAGGTGGGCTCGATCCCGACACCTCACTAGCCTGGCGCTTTAGCCATTTCGCCCACGACGCCCCCAAATAAATACAAATTAGTTAGCGTAAATAGTCAATACCACCATTTTACCTAACATGTTGCTAATATCATGTTGCGAAAACACATTCGGCAGAAGTTCTGCAAGAAAACTGAGTCGTGAAAAAACACGTGTTCGGTAGAGGTCTCGCAAATTTGTGTATTGAAAAAATATGTGTTCGGAAGACGTCAGATATTGTGCTGAAACAAAGTGCCAACATGTTCTTTACACGTGAAGTGTGTTGCAGTGTACCCTGAAGCAGTGAAGATAACACAGACCTTCTCTGGCTAAGCTTGCGCATTTCAACGATTTGAACATGCGGGCAGCGTTGAACCCATGTATTTGTATAAACTATGTTTATAGCGAACTATGCTTATAAGGAACTGATAGATAAATCGAACGGTTTTTGGTACCGGGGTCTTCTTGTATGTTTTAATCCAAATGTTTATATCAAAGTAGAATTAGTAGCCCCTAACAACCGTAAACTTTGTATATAGATCAATACCTATAAAAACCCTTAGCATACAATGTAAGATTACTTGAAAAGATAGCCCATGGATTCGAACCCACGGTATGCCCAAAGGACACAACTCGCCGTCATATTTGATGTAAAATAGGAGAAACTATAATTGTCAACCTGAAATAAGTACGATCGAAAACTTGAAAGTGCTTGATGAAAATATTGCTTCAGACTGTTTCAACAAAACATGACTTTCTCTCACAAAACCCCCCAGTGTTGCAATATGGTTTCTCAAAATATATCTTTAATAGCATGTACGATTTGAATAAATGGTTATATAGTTGTGCTGAGACGAGAGACGCTTTAACCACTAGGTTACTCCACCGCCCGCGAAGAGGTGAGCGCAAAGAGGTTGATCATCCATAAAGACTTGTCATTCCTATTACTTACAACGTCTACAATGCCTCTCAAACATGCCTCTCAGACATGTCAATCATAAAACATTACTGATGCCTTGAATGTTGTAAAAGCCGCCCGCCATATAGCTGGAATATTGCTGAGTGCGGCGTTAAACAACAAACATATAAATCCCAGTGACCACCCCAGATGCATTTAGCAACAAAATACTGACAACAATTTGGACGATATCTTCATCACAACTAATGCCCACGAGAAACGTAAGGCTTACTCAATCCCAGTGTGTTTCAAATACAAAAAAAATATCGTATTTCTCCATTTCATCAAGAGCGCGACCGGTAATAGAAGAGACACACCGACTGTCTTGGTGACCCTATTAAGTCATGAAGCTAACAAGCCACACGCACCACTGTGTTCATCAATGTGACAGTTGAGAAGACTATAATGAAGCCGTGTCTCTCGCGAGACTGTCACACAGATATCATCTCGTCTGGACGAGAGGTTATTATCCTTCTGGAAGGAGGGCAGCTTGACCGCGGCATCATTTAGGTCAAAACGGGATAACTTACAAAGGACCCATACCAAAAGTTTCAAAGCATACATCGGAAGAACTTCTACCATTTGCGTAAAACGCCCAAAGGAATGCACTCTTATTGGATCATGATCGATCTTGACGTACCGTTGGGTTTGGAGCTGATGCTTGTGTTTCAGATGAAATAGCTTGATCTGTGCGATTGTTAACATTTCAGCTTAGTTTCTTTACTTATTGTCTAGACACTGAGAAAGTGAACTCTCGTATTTTTTTCGGTCTCATACAAGAAGCCAAGTAAAAATTTCACGTTGTCACAAGGTTATGCTTTCGCTGTTACAACGTTATGTCTTAACGTTCAATTTACCGATGATAATAGTTAATAGATTTCTCAGTAGTTAACTGTACATAAAAAAAGTCAATTTGAATGTTGTTTTGGTCGTGTGTTTTCTGAAGCTGTAGCTGAATAGTGGAGAAAGAATGTCAAGTCTCAAAGTGAAAAGTTTTAGAGAAAACTCTATAGTGACACCAAGTTATAAGAAACGTTGTTATAACGTTGTGAGGAACCCAAAGCATAACGTGTCCTCAGCGTAAATTTGCAACGTTGTTATTACGTTGTGACATAACGTTATAAAATGACGTAATACTAACGTTGTGACAACGTTGTGTCATGACGTTACCAATCTAACAGGCACTCTGAGTCAAATACATACATACCTACAGATCAGCTTTCAAGCCACAGTCATCCTGGGAGTGTACAATACTCATTATCTGAGTACATGTTGGAATGACAATATCTGATTAATAATAGTATGTCGTTATTTCCAAGCAGTCCATGTTACATATAACAGGCAATCTTAGTCGATTACATCCATACCTACAAACCAGCTTTCAAGTCACAGTCATCGTGGAAGTGTACAGTAATCATTACCTGAGTAGTGATAGCATCTGATAAATAATAGTATGACAATATTTCCAAGCGGTCCATGTTACATATAGCAGGCAATGTATCTCTTGGAAATAAGTATGTACTATTATTAATCAGATAATGACTCACTCATGATCACTACGACTAAAGAAGTGGTTTGTATGTATGTATGTATTCGATACAGATTGCCTGTTGTATGTAACATGTGTCTCTTGGAAATAATGGTGTACTATGACGATAATTAACGGGATATTATCATAAGTTAGATAATGATTACTGTACACTTTCATGATGACTGTGACTTGACAGCTGGTTCTTAGCTGCGTATGTATTCAATACAAATTGTCTGTTACATGTAATATGTATCTCTTGGAAATAATGATGAATTACTAATGATCAGATAATGACGACTGCGACTAAAGAAGTGGTATGTATGCATGTATTGGATATGCCTGTTGTATGTAACATGTATCTCTTGGAAATAAAAACATAAAAAACGATATGAGAAAAAAGTGTAACAAAAAAAATGACGTTACCAATCTACAACCTTCCAGTAACATTGTGAATACGTTGTGTGTTAGCTGGGAGACGTCTGTGCGAAGCATCAAAATGGCCACAACACAGTGCCATGTCTTCATTAAAATGTACTTTGAAAACCATATGAATCATACGGTTTTAGTTAATTGCCCGTATTACAAGTACACCCTGGTTTTGTTAACTATGCGGCTACAACCTTTACGAACCTGAATTCGCGGAGGAATACGGTATCACCACAGTGAATGACCGCAATAGTCAAGTATGACCACACTGTGGCCGCGCGAATTCTTGTAACTAACTACTTTCATCTTATCGGGCAACATGACGTCCCAAACAGTTGATCTGAAACATCAAACTGTGGTGAAACTCGGGCGGCCAAGTCTATCAGACTGAGGAAACATCGAACTAATTGGATTAAAAATGAAACTGAAAGGTAGAGAACAGTCTCAATCATCCATCTGGTGCATAACGCAAGACCATGTGCACGAATCACTAAAGCTGAATAAAAGCATCTGCTTCTCCCCCGTGAAGGTCCGGGTTAGAATTGGTCTTCAGCAATCCATGCTTGAAGTAAGAGGCGACTAACGGGATCGGGTGGTCAGGCTCACTGACTTGGTTTATGCAAGTCATCGTATCCCAGTTGTGCAGATAGATGCTCATGCTGTTGATCACTGGATTGTCAATTATTTTGACCGTAACCGTTTAGCTTCCACTCGTGTTAACATAAAAAGTAAGATACTAATAATGAATATTTACAACGCGCCTTTCCAAACTTCATATCCTGCTCAAAGCGCACAATATTATTATCACCCCGGATAACCCAAGCTGCCCGTGAGGCACTAGAAAGTTAATAGTCTTATTCCACCGGGTACCCATTTTCTGCTGGGTGAACAGAGGCAAGTTTGAACAAACTCACTTGCCTAAGGTGATACCACATGTATCACACGTGCTCCGTTGTTGGGCAGGACAATCAGGACTGAAGTCCTAGAAACTCTCAGGAGTCAAGCTAACAAACATGGTCACCCATCCAAGGACTCTCCGCGCCCAACGTTGCTTAACTTCAACTGATTTGTGACCTGAGCACACCCCCTCACCAGATTACTGTATATGACAGCGGTCTGCAAACAAACAACTAATCGACGAGACTTTAAATCTAGCGACAGCGCATCTACTTCTCCAAAATCAAACATGTCAAATGACAATTACGCCGTAATATACAAGCAAAGAAGACTCCATAACCAACGTGTAAAAAAGGCTTAAAACTGGTCCTGCAACACAGAAGTGGGTAGCTGTAACATGCGGACCTGACCATTTCTTATGTAGGTGACTCGCTCCATAAATGTCAACGATAAAACTAGTCACAGTACATTAGACGAAACGTCGAACCAGGTGCAGCAAACATGAAACTTCAACGAATCAGAAAACCATCAAATGGCAAGAGTCAATCTAGGTATATGAGAAAGATCATTATGCATCTATAAACCTTATGTTACCTGTTTTTTAAGGGAAGGAGATTTGAAATATGATTTGTTGTTTGTTGTTCAACGCCTCGCTCAGCAATATTCCAATTATATGGTCTGTAAATAATCAAGTCTGGACCAGAAAATCCAGTGATCAGCATGAGCATCGATCTACAGCATGTAGCGGCATAAACTAAACTCACTCACTCATTGCGATGACATCTGCCAGAAGACTGAAGGTTTCACAAAGGATAACTTTGTATCACACATGACTGTTTGTCTCAGAAGCTGCTATTCTAATGCGACATATAAAGACCAGATACTACGTGTCTGAGATAAAAATTCAACCACAGTCTTTTGAACATACCACATGACTGTATTCGGCAGCGAAAGGGAAGCTGTGGTTGACAAGATAAGCAATGAAGATGGGGACAAAATAATTTTAACACCATGAACGGTGAAACTACAAAACTACAAAACTCAACATAAGGAAAACGCCGGGACCATATGTGGTATTGCTTGTCCATTTTTCATTTGTACAAGAGTTCTGTATTGATGCCACCAGTGCCGGGTAAGAATATTGATCTTCAGTAACCCATCCTTGTCGTAAGAGGCGACTAACGGGATCCGGTGGTCAGGCTCGCTGACTTGGTTGACATGTCATCAGTTCCCAATTGCGCAGATTGATGCTCATGTTGTTGATCATCGGATTGTCTGGTCCAGACTCGATCATTTACAGACCGCCACATAGCTTGAATATTGCTGAGTGCGGCGTAAAACTAAACTCACCCACTCACTCACTCTGTATTGATGCAAAATGAATTCCTTTCGAGGCAATAAAATATTTTTATGTTATTACATAAGAAGAGGTGACGTTTGACCTTAAAGCCAGGAGGAATGATCAGCAGTGCTTTTCTGAAGGCAGTTTGGTACTGAAGCAGCTGAAGTCGAGGAGCATCATGACCCCGCACCAAGTGTTGTCCAGAGCCACCATATGGCAGTTGACATAATCAATAATGCTATCCTGAGTGATGGGAATCCTTTACTGTTCAAGGGGAGAAGCTCTACAATCTGATAACGTATGTATGTATTCAAGATCAGTATGTCTCTCAAATCCTCATCATTGATGAGCTAGGCAAACGTTCTATGGAGATATTGTCTGAAAGGGACAACGAAACAGTGAGCCTTTGACCTCCACTGAAGAAAGAAATCAACAATCTTTGATAGCAAGAAACAAGCAGTGACAATCCGAGGAAAGGTTGTGGACCTGAAAGAAAAAAACAACTTGCATGGACGGTTGATGATGTTAGCCAGATCAAGTTATTGAACTGAAACTTACAACCGATAACTACGATTTCAGAACATTGTAACAGCATGCTGTTGCAATATGCAGACAAGTCCAAACGCATCAGCCGCCTTTAGAAGCTGGGTTTAACAAAATTGATCAGTGATCTAGAAATTGCCCCTCAGCTAGACCAAAGTAACTCAACATTGCATATGATTGCTGTGGTTGATGGTACGGTTGTTCTTCGGAAGAGGATGCAATTACCAACAGTGGAGACGGTAAAGGATCTAAGTCAGTGCTTCAAAGACCGACAGATGCGCCTGACACGAACTTGAAGTCAATTCCTGTGTTTGATACCTATAATCCCGATTCACTTGAAGGGACAACCAGAGAAAAACTACGTCAAGACAAGGATTCAGTCCAGTACGAAATAACTGATGAAACAAGAATCAAGCACATCACATTGAATCGATTCTTATCTCATGACCAAACCAAGGATGGCATTACAGAGTATCTAGCTATAAAGACCATTGAGTACTGCACGGATTCATCAAAGCTCTTCATCACTTCAGCATCACGTAATACAAGAAGTACCAGCAGCATCTGTTTTGAGACAAACAGCCATGAAGAGGCTGACACAATCATTATCTATCAAGCCAGTTTTTTTAATTCAGTGAAACCCGTGTAACTCTGAACATGTTTACCTCTCTCCGGACTCTGACGGGCTGACTGTTCAATTATTTAAGATATTCTTCTGGTATTACCATGATGTTAACTGCCACCGTTGAAGGTGGCAGTGAACATGCTACTAGGATGTAAATTACTCTTATCTAATTACAGTTGAAATGAAACAATTTCAATGTTAATTTTGTATGTTAGAAGATATGGGCAGGGAAGAAATCAGACAATCACAGATTACATCAACAAAGACTTTGATGGAATATTTTCTGTAATTTTAGGCGATGAGGCAATAAGAAAAGGTACCGTCTTAATTAGTTTAGATAATTTGATTCTCAAGAAACTTTGGCTTGCCCGACATTTGCGTTTATACTTTCCATATATAGATTTCATTATTTAGTCTAAATTGGTGCTGTATGATTTTCCACTTCCTCTGTGGTAATTTAACATTTAAAAGTCCTTGTGTACGTTGCTGTCATGGGAAAATAACCTTTATTTTTGTTGAAAGGTATTCTTGGTACACTTGTATGTTGACAAGAGTTTCGTTGTGTGAAACGTTATCCCACGGCGTTTGTGCTATCAGTGAGTGAGTTTACTTTTATGTCGCTTTCAGCAATATTTCAGCAATATCGCGACAGGGGACACTAGAAATGGGCTTCACACATTGAACCAATGTGGGGAATCGAACTTGGGCTTTCGGTGTGACGAGCGAACGCTTTAACCACTAGGCTACCTCACCGCCCATTGTCCTGTGATGATCCCAGTTAGAACTGATCTTCAGCATCTGTTTCTCGTGTGAGGCGACGAACGGGGTCGGGTTCCAGGGTCGCTGACTTGGGTTGAGTTGAGTAGGACGATGCTGCTGACCACAGGATGTCCTGGTCCAGGCTCGATTACTAAGAGACCGCCGTCATATAGCCCATGATACTTGGCAGTGTACTGCTTGACTCATGTCATTGTATCACAATAACGTAGATCGAAGGTGGAAATTGTCACACGAAACAAAAATCCCCAAACTGCCCCCTCTCCCTCAAGTAACAAAAGTCAGTAATTGAAAATGTAATACGTGTCATTTAATATGAAATCCTTTTATGCCGATAAATAAAATCAGCCCAATGCCAATGAACACCTTTATTTAGTAGACATCGCTAAAGTCCATCTTGGACTGTTTCCTTGTGTCTCTTATCGACAGTGTCTGGTGAGAAGGCACGGTTAATTCGACCGACAGACACGTAAGGCTCCACAAGGTTTCAATGAAATCGACCTAATAGGCAATTTCTAAGGATGCCACCGAGTAATCTTGCGTTATTTCCTCATTTGACAAAGATCAAAGAAAGCCGCATTTGTTCCCAGTTGATGAAGCGAGGGACAGAGGTGATAAAACAAGTTAAGCATAAACAGTGCAACTGGACTGTCCTTTACCTAATACACCGGGCATATAATTCCCGTGATGGGATTCAAACCTCTGACTTGATCCGAGTTTGGTAACCTTGATCATAGAGGATGTCATCTACACCGACATAAAACTGAACACTGCCATGTAAACATTTACCCGATTGGTATGGGCTGTCTTGTTTATCTGGCTTCACGAACTGCGACAAGGGATGTTCTGCCACAGCAGAACCTTCCTCCCACTCAGGATGCTCTGCTACAGCACACAAACAGGAGCTTGTACCAGGCCAACGCATTGCTGACTTGTTTACTTCCCAGACAGAAAGTACCAGAGCCAGACACTGACATAATTATCCTGTGTGGTGGAAAACTTAATACAGTCACGCAGAACATACTTGACTTCGATTCTTTCTTCACAAGCGATACAAAACGGAGGATCGTTACCTTTAGATAGATATTCATTAGTATGTGTTGTAAGGCCAAAGCAACATCGTCACATAATGACTTCTTTAAATCTGGACTGAAAGCCCAAGTAAGTGTAACCGATAGTTGGTTTTATTGCATGTAATCTTTACCTACTCTTGTACATCTGCTGACACAAATGATATTGTCACAAATGACTAAGATCGCTGTCATGTTGCGTTTCCCTCGAATGCTTTGTCGTTGCTATCAGGAAGAGAAAGGACTCAAATCGAGTCACGCTATCATTTATTGATACATCGGTCGTACAAGGCATGTAAGTCACACTGTCTATCAGGTAATACGGGTTTTGAAGCCAAAAACTAAAATGAATCCAAAAAGAAAAAAATGGTTTCTAACGAATTTCAAACAAGAGCCATCACGCCTCCAGTCGTTTCTAAAGAATCAAACTCGCCTCTCGAGTTCTCATAGTGGTATTTTCTGTCGAAGAAAGTGTGATTATTCATTTCCGCTGTTTCATATCTTAATTTGTGTGCAGACCCATGAAGATCAAGGGTAGAATAGGTCTTCAGCAACCCATGCTTGCCACAAAAGGCGACTATGCTTGTCGTAAGAGCCGATTAACGGGATCGGGTGGTCAGGCTCATTGACTTGGTTGACACATGTCATCGGTTCCCAATTGCGCAGATCGATGCTCATGCTGTTGACCACTGGATTGTCTGGTCCAGACTCGGTTATTTACAGACCGCCGCCATATGCTGTAATATTGCTGAGTGCGGCGTAAAACTAAACTCACTCACTCACTCTTTGTGTTCAATCGCGACAATAACATCCTATATTCTCAGGAAGAGAGTTTTATGGATGTCAACTTCCTTATTATGAGGAACAGAACGTTTCGGAGTGTATCCTTACTCCTTCATCAGGTGAATGAATGGTATGAGTCAGAGAGCATATATATGTACATGTTAGAACAGCAAAAGTTGACAACAAAGAAGGAGGCTAAACAATGGAAGCCAACAGTTAACTGGCGTTGATGTGTGATTGGCAAAGGACAGATGAAGCCAACACTTAACAGTTAATTCGCTCTGAATGGACCCCAACACTTAACAGTTAATTGGCGCTGAAATGGAAGCCAACACTTAACAGATAAATATTGTTGATAGGTGATGGACAGTGGACTGTATGAAGCCGGGGTAATAGGGAATGGGCAAAGGGCTGATGGGAGGCAGCGGGTAGTAGCATTAATAGATATAGCACCAAGAGATTGACGAATTGAGGCCAGAACAAACAAATGGAAGCCAGAACAAAATAAACAGAACAGGACATTGATAAAGTAATAAGTACAGATAACAATGAAACTATGACCAAAGTAATAAGTCTCAGGTGTTGGGCAGGTGGGTTCGTTGGTCTCGGTTATTGGCTGGCTGGTATCTCTTGATGACAATGGCTTCTTGCAGTTTTCTTTGTCGCCAGTACTCAGAGATGGCGGATTTCAAGTCTACTTTGTTGACAGAGGACAGGAGTCTAGTGGTAAGGGGTCTGAGGGTTTCTCCGATGTATTGGTGGCCAGAGTTGCAGCGGAAACGTTGTGTTCCTCATAATATAGAAGCTGACATCCATAAAAACTCTCTTCCTCATGTTTACCACTTCTAAATGTCATTCAAAGACCTGATCCTCTATTCTGTCTTTTACGATCTTATTTTCTGGTATGGCAGGCTTGGGGGTAAATAGTACCTACCGAGTTGCTTTGGAGGATCTCTGGTTGCATTGGTACAGTGATGTATGTTAATTGGTACCTACCGACATCCATCGGTTGCATGGGTGCGTGTTGTATGCTAATTGGTAAATACCGACCTCCATTGGTTGCATGGGTCCGTGGTGTATGTTAGTTTGTACCTAGCAACCTCCATTGGTTGCATGGGTACAGTGATGTATGTTAATTGGTACCTACCGACCTCCATTGGTTGCATGGGTGCGTGTTGTATGTTAATCGGTACCTACCGACTCCATTGGTTGCATGGGTACAGTGTTGTATGCTAATTGGTACCTACCGACTTCCATTGGGTGCATGGGTACAGTGATGTATGTTAATTGGTACCTACCGACCTCCATCGGTTGCATGGGTGCGTGTTGTATGTTAATTGATACCTACCGACCTCCATTGGTTGCATGGGTGCGTGTTGTATGTTAATTGGTACCTACCGACCTCCATTGGTTGCATGGGTACAGTGTTGTATATTAATTGGTACCTACCGACCTCCATAGATTGTATGGGTACAGTGTTGTATGTTAATTGGTACCTACCGACCTCCATTGGTTGCATGGGTGCGTGTTGTATGTTAATCGGTAAATACCGACCTCCATTGATTGTATGGGTACAGTGTTGTATATTAATTGGTACCTACCGACCTCCATAGATTGTATGGGTACAGTGTTGTATAGTAATTGGTACCTACCGACCTCCATTGGTTGCATGGGTGCGTGTTGTATGTTAATTGGTAAATACCGACCTCCATTGATTGTATGGGTACAGTGTTGTATATTAATTGGTACCTACCGACTTCCATTGGTTGCATGGGTGCGTGTTGTATGCTAATTGGTACCTACCGACCTCCATTGGTTGCATGGGTGCGTGTTGTATGTTAATTGGTACCTACCGACCTCCATTGGTTGCATGGGTACAGTGTTGTATGTTGATTGGTACCTACCGACCTCCATTGATTGTATGGGTACAGTGTTGTATATTAATTGGTACCTACCGACCTCCATTGGTTGCATGGGTACAGTGTTGTATGTTAATTGGTCAATACCGACCTCCATTGGTTGCATGGGTACAGTGTTGTATGCTAATTGGTACCTACCGACCTCCATTGGTTGCATGGGTACAGTGTTGTATGTTAATTGGTACCTACCGACCTCCATTGGGTGCATGGGTACAGTGTTGTATGTTAATTGGTACCTACCGACCTCCATTGGTTGCATGGGTACAGTGTTGTATGTTAACCGACCTCCATTTGGTAAATGCATGGGTGCATGGGTACAGTGTTGTATGCTAATTGGTAAATACCGACCTCCATTGGGTGCATGGGTACAGTGTTGTATGCTAATTGGTACCTACCGACCTCCATTGGTTGCATGGGTACAGTGTTGTATGTTAATTGGTCAATACCGACCTCCAGTGGGTGCATGGGTACAGTGTTGTATGTTAATTGGTACCTACCGACCTCCATTGGTTGCATGGGTACAGTGTTGTATGTTAATTGGTACCTATCGACCTCCATTTGGTGCATGGGTACAGTGTTGTATGCTAATTGGTAAATACCGACCTCCATTGGGTGCATGGGTACAGTGTTGTATGCTAATTGGTAAATACCGACCTCCATTGGGTGCATGGGTACAGTGTTGTATGTTAATTGGTACCTATCGACCTCCATTGAGTGCATGGGTACAGTGTTGTATGCTAATTGGTAAATACCGACATCCATTGGGTACATGGGTACAGTGTTGTATGTTAATTGGTACCTACCGACCTCCATTGAGTGCATGGGTACAGTGTTGTATGCTAATTGGTAAATACCGACCTCCATTGGGTACATGGGTACAGTGTTGTATGCTAATTGGTACCTACCGACCTCCATTGGTTGCATGGGTGCGTGGTGTATGCTAATTGGTAAATACCGACCTCCTTTGGGTGCATGGGTACAGTGTTGTATGCTAATTGGTACCTACCGGGTTGCTGTGGAGGATCTCTGGTTTCATGGGTACAGTGGTGTAGGTGACAATCCACATCGTTCCAGTCAGGATGTAGGATATGAACAGATGCTGATGCATGGTCACCCGACTGCACTTCAGTTGTCTGAAACAAACATTAAGTTCAAAGAAGTCATCATGGTTTCTAGAGTTACGTCCCTTAGTTGAGCTATAATCCGCAGATCGTGAGTTCGAAATCCATGTTCGCTCTAATTAATCACCATCCATATTTTGAATTATTATTATGAAAATAGGGCATTCTGTTTGTTTTAGTACGCCGAAGGCCCGGGTTCGATTCTCCACATGGGTACAATGTGTGAGGCCCATTTCTGGTGTCCTTTGCCGTGATATTGCTGGAATATTTCTAAAAGTGGTGTAAAACCAAACTCACTCACTCACTGTTTGTTGATGGTGTTAACAATATTTGAATATTGTTTTTTTCCTGTAAACATCATTGATAGTTTAGAGACGGATTCGATTCGCCGCGTTCACGGGCAATCGATAAGTGTAATTTTGTGATTGGTTTGTGGAAGATAGATAAAGGGTTACAAGGCACACATAGCACGGAAGGTATGCGATACGACATAGTGTGCTATTTGCAGAAGGGGTTAAGGTCCCTATCCTAGATTGATAATACGATGTGCCGTTGAGATTGACATCCAATGATCGAGGGAAATAATGCGAGCGCCTTGAGCATGCACTAGTTGCGTGGATATGTGCGCTATATAAATATCCTAAATATCCTATAATATCGCAAAAGCACATGGGGACCAGTCCAGGTGTTGCCATGTAATAATGCAAAATATCTACAGTCTGTAATGGTGCTGCAATTTCAGTGGTCTGATTTAGATTAATTGATGCATAAAAATATGTCTTTAGAACTCGGTTTCAATGAGCATGGCAGATTTGGTATCAAATATGCGTTTTTATTACATGTTTAAAATGATTAAACGAGAATGCAAAAATACCCTTTATATTCATAAAAATAGGTCAGATTTGCTGTGATAGTCTTAACACTGCGAGAATAAAAATAACAATTCGGCAATTTATAACCAATTATGCAATCCTAGCACTCGTAGATTCCAAATTTTCTCTTCATATTAATTAAAAGCGACACAACCACTTTCATTATCATATGCAGGTAGCAAATATACTGTAAGTCCCCATGGTCCCTAGTATGGTGAACTACCTTCGGTTGCTGGCGATATATAGCCCGTTGCGTATATTGTATTGTCCTAATTAAAAATAAAGTTTTAGTGATAGACACTAGTTTTATTTCTTGAGTCTGTGATCTACTCGGGTTTACTTTCCTTCGTTGACAGGCTTTTAGTGATTTACATGTATTTATGATGAAGTTAAAAACTTGTTGTAGTCACGATATGGCTGAAATATTGTCGATGTGACTTTAAGTTTTAAGTCACTCACTTTCATTATCATAACTCATTTGCACGATTCAGAGTATGTCATGATCATGTGTTCATGAAGCGCTATTATGTAGTGACAATACCAGGTTAATTACTATTGTTACATAGTGAAAACCGAAAAGGTACAAGGTTCCTGCACAATCGGTGGCCTATGTGACAAACACATGCAAAGGCACTACAATTGTTCACCAGAAACAGACATGGGACCAAAATGGTACAAGTCAACACGGAACTGTATCGGGCAACTTTTTGGTCACTGGTATGCAAAATATGGAGTCCTAAAGGCTTCTTGAAGCTTTACGAAGTCATTGCGAATGTTGAAACCTTGTTATGCTCAAGCGGATTCTGAGCAAAAGTTGCATGAACACGACGCTGTTTTAATGTTTGTAGAATCCATTATTTAATTCCGGTTAAAGAATCCTGTAAGATCCGTGCAGTTCCGGGTTAGAATTGATCTTCAGTCACCCATGCTTGTCGTAAGAGGCGACTAACGGGATCGGGTGGTCAGGCTCGCTGACGTTGCTGATACGTGTCATCGTAACCCAACTGCGTAGATCGATGCTCATGCTGTTGATCACTGGACTGTCTGGTCCAGACGTGATTACGCATACCGCCGCCATATAGCTGGAATATTGCTGAGTGCGGCTTAAAACTAAACTCACTCATTCAGCAGTCCGTACTTGCCTTGAGGCGACTAACGGGATCGGGTGGTCAGGCTCGCTGACTTAGTTGACACATGTCATCATATTCCTACTGGGTAGATCAATGCTCATGTTATCGATCACTGGATTGTCTGGTCCAGACTTATATTTACAGAACACCGTCATATAGCTGTAAGATTGATGAGTGCAGCGTTAAGCACACAAACCAACAAACTTCAGATGACATTTTTCAGACGATATCTGAAGCTTTGAGGACAGCATTTATTTTGGTGACAAACGCCCATTGGATAAAGGGACAACGTGTTACCTTATATTTGTATTGTGTGAAAGGGGTGCAGCTGAAATATCAAATGTTTGGACACAATTGAACTTGGTTCTTTTCAGAGAATGTATTAATGCAAGCAAATGATGAGAATTTATAAGAATCCACATGGTATCAAAACCCACTTGTGTTAAATACTTTCTGTTAATTTAAGAAAATCCTCCCTTGATTGTATTAAGGATGATGGTTAATCCTTGCGATTAACAAACAAACGTTTGCAATTGACATTTATAAAGGAAGATGAGTGATGAGCTCCTTTGATTCTGATATCGACAAAGGTATGAACCCTGGATAATGAAGACATCAAAGCCCTTGTCACGTCACCACTGGCTCAGATTGAGTCATCAATATTCCTGTGGACAGCTGCTCTAGCTTCAGGTTAACATATCATCCCTTTTAAGTCGTGAAATGAAAAAAAAAATGTTTTCACCAAGAGTGCACCGTTACCATTGCAAACTTGCCATCTTTCAATAAAGCATCTTCCAAGGCTGATGACAAGATGGATGATTTTAACTCTCCAATAGTCAACTTCCCGTCATGTTGAGGATTTTCCTGACAGCTCCAGCCTTTGGTGTTTAGATTTCATGACAATTGAGGTACAACAGAGCATTGTCTTTTTACGAAGATCCCAAAGAGCGGCACACAAGTCTTGCTTGGATCAAAGTTACAATTTAACATTCAAGGCCTCAGTAAATCTTTATAAAATGATCAGAAACGATGAAGAAATCATAAAAATTGACGCATCAGTGACAAAAATAATTTCCGATGCAATTTTGACTTGTGTCACACGTTCCCGATATATCTAAGGTGAACAACTGACTTACCATTTGCATTTGTTTACACTACTGCCTAAAAGTTCATTCCCCTTTCACGCTGAGAATGCGTGTAACACACATCTGAAATGGGTGTTGCAACGGGTGTACAGCGCGTTTGAGTACCCTGTCACGCGGGTGTGCCACGAGACACACGCGCGTGTACCATGCGTGTAACACGGGCCCAAGTTTCAGCTGAAATTGACGAATACCGTTAGGATTACAGAATTAAATTTGTATGATTTTGAAATCGGAAATTTGCCAGAAGTGGTAGGGGATGAACTACGGGATGGTTTGGTTGGTACTTTATATTTGGTTTTGTGTTTTGTTTTTGTATTTTTTAAGTTAGCACTAGTTGGTCATATGCGATCATATGCGGGGTGGGGTGGGGGGGGGTGGGGTATATGAAGTGTGCAACATGTGGGGCAGGATACGTTAACACCTGGTAAGTACCTTCATAGTCATTCATCCGCACATGTCTATGATATCGTCGGATACAATCAATTCTACTTTAAGCAGAGATTTCGTGGGTATGTTGAAAGGTTTTGGCGCTTTTAATCACAAAAGTGAGAATTGGTTATTGCTGGTTTGAACACAAGCCATATTTTTCACTTTTCACCAAAAAATAATTTGTACTTATAAGGTAAAAATATATTTTAGAGGTTCAGGAAGGGAGCATTTGAAAACATATCTGACTCAACGCGATTTCTCATGTAAATGCAACCATTATAGTCAAATATTTACATTTATGTCGTACATTTCAATTGTCTCTTGACGTTGATAATAAAAAACTTACATATGTAATAAAATGAAACTGTAGGTTTTTAATTAAACACACCAGAGTATATTTAATCCGTTTGACAAGACGACGTCAGATGCTCATAAAAATTGTAAGCAAATCCTGCGATACGGGTGGTACTCTAACATTTATTTATGAAACTTAAATGTACAACAAAGGGTCCTTTGCAAACCCCCAACGGTCCTGAAGATCCCCAGGAATGAGGAATAAAGATATGTCGTCACAAACATATCCACTTACATGTCATTGTGAAGCGTTTGATAAAATTGATAAACCTTCTGTTCGGAATTTAAAACAATGATGTCATTGTCAAAGAACAGCGCATGCTGACACAATCGGCTGCGGAAACCCTGATTAGCAAAGAGTACTGTGTAATACGGGCAACATTATGATTAAAACATAGCTTTATTCCTAAAGAATCTGGTTTGATAAACAAGCAGAACTTTGCTTATATCAATAACCTCACCAGTACATATATCATTTAAACAAAATACACAAGAACTTGATACACAAGGCGACAAATCAAATCATATATGTGCGTTGTAGGTGCTTATAGACCATGAGCTTGCATTATATATTTTCAGGCGGTAGATTCATAGCTAATTTCCTCTATACACCAAACTGAATGTGTTTCTAAGGATAGCCAAGACTTGGTATTCTTTGCACTGGCTTAATTATTTGGTCATACGAATCATTATTGGAAATGTTTTTCTATATAAGAGGTGATTAGTGCACCTTGGTCAAGCTATTAGTTCACAGTTTTGCCAATACCGATCCGTGTTATCTACCGTGTCAGATTCTGTGTATTGTCTTCCCTGTCTGGAGTAAAGATAGTTGTCGAGTCTCCTTCCTGTTTGACTTAACGAAGAAGTTCACCACGTGTAGTGGGAACACCTGCGTCCCCGTGAGGTTTGACCTTGTAGTTACAACGTATACAACGTATACTTCGATGGGGTACGATGAGACGCTGTTGACGAGGTGCGTCAATGTAAATACCCAATCCAGTATATCGGACTCACGACCAGCATAGTTAGCTGGGGGCCTACGCTGACACGGAAATCCACTCTTGTGTCCACATCGAGACACCGTACTGACATTTGGTTAACCAAAACACCTTTCCAAATGGCATTGTGTATTCACAAAACACCTTAGTTCTTCACAAATAGAGGCAGACAGACACACACACACACTAGTGTTGGGAATTGGTTGAAATCTTACAATTGATGATTGGTTCACTACCAACGACCAATCATCGAAAAAAAATTGGTTAGCGTCATTTTTTAGATTTTCCTATTCAGGTTGTAGTTGCAGATAGGTATAAAGAAAAAAACATTTGGTTCTCTGTTGTTGTTTTTAGAAACTGCACAAATTACATTTGCAGATTTCACATCCAGTTTAATTGATTCAGTTCCAGTGTAACATTAACTTCCCAGATTCTTCAAGAAATATTCAGTCATGACTTTTCAGAGAGTGAAGTGAGTTTTCTTAGAAATAAACACGTTTTCAGGCCCTGACAACGTCCTAGATATGTTCCATCATCAAGTATTTCAAACTCTATTACAGCGGTTCCAAAATCGTTTGTGTTCGATTATGAGAAAATGTGATCGATTGCTTGTTCGTTTGGCCACTGCGACCAATCTTCGATTTTTTCAATTAATCGGACCACCACTAACACACACAAACCCTCAAAGGTTGTTGCTTGTTGTTTAACGCCGCATTCAGCACTATTCCAGCTATATGGCAGGGGTCTGTAAATAATCGAATCTGGACCAGACAATCCAGTAATCAACACCATGAGCATGGTTCGATGACATGGTTCGAAGAGACGTATGCACCAACTCAGCGATCCTGACCATCTGATCCCGTTAGTTGCCTTTTACGACAAGAAAAGTTTGCTAAAGACCAATTCTAACCCGGATTTTCACGGGTCATACAAAGGTGAACACCTTTTAATCCTTGTTTATTCTGTGGGATTTCGTCATTTGATGGAAAATGCGTAATTTCCAAAGAATACCGCAGAGGGTTACCAGCGGGTTATTAGGCTCAATCAATGGATTCGTATTTTGTGGCATCCTTACACCGTGATCGGTAAGGCTTCCTCATTCTAAAATGGTATTGTAACCTTTTACCTGCGTCACAAATGATGAATATGATATTGCATTTATTACATATGTTACGAGGTACATCCACGACAAACTAGACAGTAATGTCTGGTTATTTTGAAGCATTAAAAATGAGAATCACAACAGATTTAAATATGAATTTAAATATATACTGGTCAGCAGTAGAATATTTAAGTTTGATTGATCGATTGTTGTTTAACTCCGCACCCAACAATATTCCAGTTATAAGGTGGCGGTCTGTAAAATAATCGAGTCTGGACCAGACAATCTAGTGATCACCATTGTGAGCATCGATCTATGCAATTGGGATACGATGACAGGTGTCAACCAAGTCAGCGAGCCTGACCACCCGATCCAGTTTGTCGCCTCTTATGACAAGCATTGGTTGCTGAAGACCAATTCTAAAGAATACTTAAAGGACATAAATTCTTTAATGTAATAGTAATGAAGGGTTATGGAAGGAACTATCATTAGCAAACACAGTATCGTAGTTTGCTCACCTGAACATGTTGAAGATGATGACTCCCAAGACACAGAGAATGATTGACAAGGAGTACCCGGAAATGTACACCATGATTACATCTCGTTCTTCCTGAAAAGGACATAAACAAGAATTCTCTTACTGCTATTTCGATTCTGGACGTCACCATGTAAACAACGTTCGCGGTTCATCTGTATGGCGGTGTTTGTAAATAATCAATGTTGATCACTGGATTGTCCGGTCCAAACTCGATTATTTACAGACCGCTGCCATATAGATGGAATATTGCTGAATGCGGCGTTAAACAACAAACCATCTGAAAAATGCACCTGTAAATATTTGGACAAGTCAATCCAGTGACTGACATCATGAGCATAGATCTATAAAACTGGAATACGGTGACACGTGTCCATCAAGTCAGTGAGCCTGACCTACCGATCCCGTTACTCTCCTTTTACGACAAGCATGGGCTGCTGAAGACCAATTTTAACTTGGATTTTCACGGGTAAAAATTCTTCTTCCAGGTATCGACGATACTTTGAATTGTGAGAATTGAAATGTTTAGAACTTTTCGTTTGAACCGAAACATATAAACATGTCTTTCCTTAAATATATCCGAAAGAAATGCTTGCTTTCCTGACAAAGCAAAACTAAAATCAGCTACGTTTAGGTTTGTACAGAATTCTCTTTCAATGCATTAACAGTTTTTCATCTATATGACATTTGCAAATTAAATCACTAAATGAAACTGGAGTCGGATGTCTTCGCACAAAAAGCTGGATGGTGTAAGCGGAGTAACAGATGGCATGTACTCCGTACGTTTTGATTATCGTGTGAGGTTGTATTTGAAAGTTGAAAGTTATATTATTAGTGCAAGTATACGAATGCTTTGTGCTTTCGTATCCATTGATGGTTGGTTTGTTGTTTAACGCCGCACCCAGCAACTTTCCAGCAATATAGCGTCTGTCTGTAAATAATAGTCTGGACCAGACAATCCAGTGATTGACATCATGAGCATCGATCTACGAAACTGGAATACGATGACATGTGTCAACCAAGTCAGCAAGTCTGACCACCCGATCCCGTTAGTCGCCTTTTACGACAAGCATGGGTTGCTGAAGCTCAATTCCAACTCCATTTTCACGGGTTCATCACAGATATCGTGATGCCCTTTACGACTCATTAAGGAGTGATCAACATACAGAATTTATTAACAGATCGATCTACTCGGTTGGGATACGATGAAAGTCAGCGAGCCTGACCCCCCGATCCTGTTAATCGGATCTTACGTAAAGCATGGCTTGCTGAAAACCAGTTCTAGCCCGTTCGATGCTGGGTACTAGAAACAGTAGCCAAGCTCCCGGTTCACTCACCTGTAATTTGGAGCATGCTGTGTAATCTGTCCAGGGTTTGTTGGGCACCTTAGGATGGCTGTACCACTGGCCATTGTCCATGCATGTTTTTCGAGCGTACGCTGAAAATACATAGGTTACTGTTATGAAACAAACTCTTTCTATAAGAGTAAGAGGCGGATGGTACCGGTAGATCATGAAGTGTTTACTCTAGGTCTCTTCATGAACACCCGGTGTCATCAACAGCTTTCGAAATATCTACTGGTTAAAGCTAAGTGATTGAGAATCGGGCCAGTAATATATTGTTAAAGCTATCCCGACTGGCTAGCTCAAAATCTCAGATAATTTATTCTTTATTTAATGCACCTGAATATGTTGGAGAAATCTTAGTTTTTGTGATTGTTGGATGTATGTTGATTCCAAGGGGCGACAATAGCTTACCATAATCAATTATCAAACCAGTTCTGACCGATGTGGTTTCGGATATTGATATTTTCCAGGGCCAGTGAAGTATGATGTGGACTAGCAACATTTTTACTCAACTAGCCCTCCTGGCCAGTGATTTTTCAAAATTAATTCAAACGCTGGTCATCAATGTATTTAAATGTTCATTCATACAATATTTATCACACTTTCGCCTTTTATATCCTATGAAATCTGTTTTGGAGATAATCGAGCCTTTTTATACTCTCCCAAAAAAGAAACGCATATAGGAACTGTATTTTTATGTTTATTTTGAACATCTTGTAGGTTTATGAGTCAATAAAATATTGCGAAATTGCACACTGGGAAAGCAGACTTATGCGTCTTTGGCAACAACTCGAGGAAAGTCAGTTTGAGTGTCACATGGAGACGTGTTGTGGCGCTGAAGTCAACACCTCGTGTGACCACCGCGGGCATCCAGAACTGCACGGCATCGCCTCGGCATCGGACGAATAAGTCTCAGAATCTCGTGTTGCCCAATCGCAGCCCACTCTGCCTGTAGTGCCTGTGCGAGTTGCTGAAGTGTCAGGGGCTGAGGGTTACGGCGTCGCACCGGTCTGTCCAGGGCATCCCACAGATGTTCGATCGGGTTTAAGTCCGGTGATCTTGAGGGCCAGGGGAGCACATTGATGTTGTGGTTCTGGAGGAAGTCTCTAGTGTGACGTGCTGTGTGGGGCCTGGCATTGTCCTGTTGAAACAACTCCCTCTGGCGATCAATGATTGGAAGGAGGTGTGGGCGTAGGATTTCGTCACAGTACCTTTGAGCTGTCAGGTTGCCCTGGATCATCACCAAATCACTTCTCCTACGGCAGGTGATTGCTCCCCACATCATAACACTGCCCCGGCCGAATCTGTCCACCTGGGGAACGCAAGCGTCGGCAAAACGTTCACGTCGACGTCTGTACACTCACATTCTTCCATCGCGTCGTTCCAATAGAAATCGTGATTCATCACTGAACCAGATTCTACGCCAATTCGGTAGGTTCCAGGCCTGAACGTTGGTGCACCATTGAACTCGATGTGGACGATGTTGTTGTCGAAGCACAGGGCCAAAATAAGGTCTTCTGGCACGTAAACCAGCCTCTCTCAACCTGTTCCTGACGGTCTGTACAGAAAGCCTCCTCAATCCGGGTATTTGTCGAGCGGTACTGGTCGCCGTAGCTGTTCGATGACGCAGGTGATGTACCCGGTTGTAGCGATCGCAGAGGTCGCCCACTGCGAGGGGCATCTGCTACCGAATTCTGCCGGCGATATCTCTCCCAGAGCCGTGAAATGGTGCTTTGGTGTACATACATGCGTCGGGCAACTGCACGTTGAGACTGGCCAGCTTCAAGCAAACCAATGGCGATATGACGGTTGGCTTCACTTAGACGTGACATTTTGCGTTCGTCAACAATATTCCAAATACAGTGAATAATCGACAGACAGCGATCAACCTTTCATACCAATCATTGAGACTATCTGATCCCCAACCTTCACGTGCATTGCATGTGAATTGTGTATTCTGTGACACTACACGCCGAAAGTGAAAATCATGCTGTTAAATACGGGTATTTTACGGATGGTGCGTTTTGTTGTGATGTTTCAAAACATAGACACCATAGGACTCATAAACAAAGCAAAACCTTTTGTAAAATGAATCACGTTTTAATTCATTGCTACATGAAATTGCTATTTTCATGATGCGTTTCTTTTGAGTGAGTGAGTGAGTGAGTGTATTTTTACGCCGCACTCTTCAATATTCCAACTAATATCTCCTCTTACGACAATCATGGGTTACTGAAGACCAGTTCTAACCCGCATCTCCACATGGGGATTCATCACACACAGATCAATGCCATTGTCTCCCATGTAAGCAAGACAACAACCTTCATATTCCAGATTCTAAACTGTCTTATGTACCCTCGTTTACCGAGCTGACTGGAGCGTAAAACACGTTTTACCAACTCACTCGTTCCGTACTGTGTCTTACCTTACCGTCTATACATCTGTGGATTTGTTTCTGCATGAGATGTTTTATCGACATGACAGCAAGTGAAATGTTCTTTTAGCACATCATAAAATCTCAGCGTGTCTCTCAGTGGACTGACAGTTCACCAATCATCCTTCGAGCAGAGACTTTGGCTTGAAAGGAAACACTGAACGCTTCGTCGCGCGATTATATAATTAGGGCCATCCCAAACAAACACATATATTTTTCATCTTAAGTACATTTATTTGCGTGCGGTGCAACAGCTTGTTTAACGCCTGATTCACTGGACGAATAACTAAAGGCGAGATACTCAGAGAGCAAAGATTGTGTATGTTTTGCTCATCGTATCAGGTTTAAACGAATATTGGTTTGTTTGAAAGTATTCTGCTTTTCGAATGTGGTTGAAGGTTAACTTGGTCTCTGTAATGATTCCGAACCCTTTTTCAGAGAAAAACGGATATTCTACAACATTTTAGTTTCCTGAACTTTATGGTGAAATTGAAAGGTTACATTATAGCCGGCGAAGGTGTACGAATGCTTCGTGCTGGCGGATATATGTCCAATGATTTGAGGGGAACTGTCATTTTCACTTTCAAAAACAAGCACACACTACACGCACGCACGCACGCGCGCACACACACACACACACACACACACACACACACGTATACAAGTACGTACGGAAACACAAAGGGCACATGGTCGCTTCTTGCAATATTCCAGCAATATCACGGAGGGGCACACTTAGAAATGGGCTTCACACATTGCACCCATGTGGGGAATCGAACCCGGGTCTTCGGCGTGACGTGCTAACGCTTTATACACTAGGCTACCCCACCGAACACGTGTACCCAATAAGACTAATGGTTTGACGACATTTTCCAGTCATAACAAACTAGCAGCGGGTTGGTTATTCAAAGGCATATGAAACAACCACAACATGTCATCCCAAATTGAATCTCATCCATATGTCTCCACGTATATGCGAATAGGTTGTCTATCATGTTTAGTTGTTCACTAACTTTGAGTGAGTGACTGAGTTTTAGCAATATTCCAGCAATATCACGGCGGGGGACACCAGAAATGGGTTTCAACCATTGTACCCATGAGGGGAATCGAACACCGTGTCTCCGGCGTTACGAGCGAACGTTTTAACAACTAGGCTACCCAACCGCCCCCACTTGGAATAACTGAAACCAGAAATAGGATATTTACAATGTATTTCCTCTTCTTTTATATTATCGTTTCCACACCAGTCCATTGCACACTGCACAATCATCTTATTTTCATATACATGTAGACATGAAACTTTTGGTTAATGATAAAAGCCATCGCGGCCCGCAAGGTTCGGGTGACAGTTACCTCAGCCCAGCTACCCTCTGTGATTCTCACCATATAATAAGTCTGAGAAAATGGATGTGTCTGAAAACAAGTAACTGCACCCAGATCTCGCTATGACGCCTGCTTTATTGTCTTCCATCAGTGAAGACATAGGGAGAAAAGTGCTTTCGTCTGGAAGCTGTTACAAAAAATATATTCTGTCGCTGACTAATGTACTTGCCAGCAATCTATTTCCTACATACTCATGAAAGATGACCTGTTGACAACCAGGTTAGAACTGGTCAACAGCAATCAGTCTTTGTTGGTTGAGGCGACTAACATGATCTTGAGCTCAGACTCGCTGACGTCGAATCACTCACTCGCTGACCTTAATTCATGTCATTGTATCTCTATGACGTAGATAGATGCTCATGATATGAATCACCGTCCAGATTAGATATAGGACAGTCAAATTAGCAAAAAGGTCGAAAAGAAAATGATGAAGAAATGAAACTTGGCAGTTATGTTCTACAAACCTTCCTACATAACATACTAAAAATCCCCTAAAATCCATAGTGCACTTGCAAACATGGCTACCCTATGCAACCTTTTGCTAACCTAGAAGACCAAATGTGCTTGATAAAATAGTCATAATAGTCTTTATTTCTGTACATAAGTACATAAATGTTTGACAACTGAGTGAATATATCTCAAGATTGTTGACTATTATTTCAGAAAGAAAAAACATTCACATTTCGGAGTTGTGGCCCTTTTTTGTGTGCTTAAAGTAGAATTTTTATATGTTTTTACCCTTGGGTGACACAAAGACCTATAGGTATGATGATAAGACTTAGATATGTCCAAAAGCTGGCTGGCTGAGTATGGTTTTACGCCGTTTTAGCAATATTCCAGCAATATCACGGCGGGGGACACCAGAAATAGGCTTCACAAGTTGTACCCATGTGGGGAATCAAACCCGGGCCTTCGGCGTGACGAGCGAACGCTTTAACCACTAGGCTACCCCACCGCCCATGTCCAAAAGACCTTGAAGTGTATTGTTCAATGTCCTTTTCACCACAAACCACCAAATATAACTTAATAAAATAATATTTTTACATTTTGACTGAAACTGAATTTTTGGGGCATTTTTAGAAGTGAATGAAACTCAATAAATGGCCCAACAATTGCAATAATTTGATTTTTTTAAACCAAAAAATCAAGCAAGTGAAATTTTATAGTTTCATAAAAACACATTTAAGTAGCCATTACCATGCTGTAAAAATAGTTATCGCCCTTGGATACTCACAATTGCAAGAAAGTATCATAACTCAACCTGACAGTACCTAA